ATTCCAACCCCTCACAAGAACTGGGGAGGTTTTACATCCATTGAATCCCAGGGATTATCCTGGCCCCAGCTCCCCGCTACCTTTTTCTATGATGGGAGAAAGCAGGATTGTTTTTTGCACTTGTAGTGAGAGAAAAGCACAACCTCAGGGAGATCTGCATCTATAGAAATATATTTTCCTAAAGTGAAAAGACAAAACACCCTCTTCCCAGACTTTTGGGGTCATTTGCAGCTGACACCGTCCGACTTCCTGGGTCTGTCAAACACAAGCCTGTCTCCCCTCTGGAAGCAGCATTCAATGAACTAGCTGAGTTGCAGGGCTCAGTATGTTTTGTGGACATACGTGTTTTTAAACTTTTTAAAGAACTTGATATCCTTGGGGTTTTTATGAGTTTCCCTTATTTTGTCACTTTCCTGCTCTCCGCACTGGAGACAGTTGTTGCCCTTGTTTTTTTCCTGGTGTTGCAGTACGGGGGACCTGAGTGGAGCTGGACTTTTTTATCAACAATCAAGTTGCCCTGGAGTCATGTTCATCTACCTGTTTAAGTGAGCAGGTTTGTCTCTTTCCTTCCTCGCGCCTGTTGGATGTGATGGAACTCATGTTTGCAGAGTGGGAGGACGGGGAAAGGTTTTCCTTTGAAGACTCTGACCGCTTTGAGGAAGACTCCCTTTGTTCCTTCATCTCTGAGGCGGAGAGCCTTTGCCAGAACTGGAGAGGATGGAGGAAGCAATCAGCTGGACCCAACTCCCCCACTGTCAGAATGAAAGGTGAGAGCCCTGAGTTTCAGGGGGGTGCTCTGGGAGTCTGAGTGAAACTTCTGGGCTGCATCAGGATGGGGAAACCTGGAGAGGGGTTGGGACATCAAGGCATGAGCCAAAATCTAGCAGGGGGAGGTTGTGAGTACAGGTTGAACAAAAATTATGCTAGAAACTTGGATGCAGTGATGGTTTCCTATTGGAGGAGATTGTTAATGCAGCTTTTCTGTAGTGTTCTTCTGACCCACACTGCATTTGCCAAAGGTGTGCTTGGGAATCTGGAGGGGGGGAACCAAACCTATGTTGCACTAAGCAAGGCACATGCTTCACTTGGAATAATTAGTCATAGGCTCCCAGTTGTGACTAATTAACTGAAAAAACTGCTCCATAAAGATTTTGTAGGCTCCCCCGTTTTGTGTGCAGCAACCCACTTTCACTCTCACTCTTGTATTTCTCTTTATCCTTCTGGTGCCTGCAGCAAACTTTCAGTGGTAGCTGTTGAGCAGGCAGGTGTGGAGACCTTATTGCAAGATGTGACTCAGCTAGACAAGTGTCAGCTGTGCCTCAAAAGCTGATGTTATTCCTGCCCTACTACCAGTTATTCCCTTCTTGCTGGAGAAAGCCCAACATACAGTGCCAGCCTCAGAAGCTGGTTTCCAAATAGTGGAGGCTGCTAACTTTTTGTCTGAGCTGATACGTTTGTATTAAACCCTTGTATCGAGCACTTGTGTTAAAATCACTTGTTTCCTCTGGTGACCTTATCTCAAAACTCTGGTACTTATCGTACTGAATGGACCCAGGCATAATGCTGGCAGAGTTGTTTCAATCCTGATTACATCATGACCATTTCTCTTTGTCCTACGGGTCACGCTAATTCTGACCAATATGACCTCACCTGCTTTTCTATGGCTACACTCCCCACAACTCTTGTACTGCACCTCTTATCCCTGAACTGCAGCATTTCCTGCTTTTCCAAACCTGGGTCTTTCCTGAACAGAAAACCTTGTTTGTAATATGTTGTGCTGAAATATGGTAGTTTTGTGATGTGCATAAATGTCTGCTTAGACTAGACAATGCATTTTACTTTGAATCATCATCTTCCCAAGACAGCTTCATTTTTCTCTGCATAGTGAATTTGAACAATGGCACTCGTCCAGGATATTTAACCTCCTTTGTGTGTCTCTGCCGAGTGTCGTGGGGTGGCAAATGATGGGGAAGGAAGGAGCCTGGAAATCTCGCTGAGTGAAAATGTAAGCTGGATGGTGCTTTTGAGGTGCTTCTGTTGCATGTTTTGGTGTCAGTACTTGGGCACTCCTAGGTAAAATGAATAAGAAATAGCAGCACAAGCCATGCTATACTGATAGGGAGACACGAGCCCTGTCCAACGCAGCATATAGACAACATGGCTCTCTTGGTTTTCTGTGTCCCTTTCAGTCCAGTTGCACACACTGGTGCACTGCAAAGGAAGGGGTTGAATTCCCCACTAGTTTTAGTGTAAGACTGGTCCATGCAGGGGAAACAAAGGGAGGGTATTCTTTCCAACTCCATCACAAAACAAGGGCTGCCCATGAGTTGCCAGAATGGGGCCGTGTCTAGATTGTGCAGAAGTTCAAAATACAGCTGAGAGCTGTTGGGTAGGCTCTGTTGATCTCTGCTCCGCTGCGTGGGGCTTGAATAGTTCCACAGGCTCTGCTAGGTTACTTTGATATGCTTGTTTCTTGGTTGAGTTGCAGGTATGTGGTCATATGTCCCAACTGTCATGCACTGATGACCCTAAAATAAGAAGCCACTCAAAGTAAATTGTGCAGGTCTGTGATCCTCTCTCGTCTTTCGAAGGTGAAATGGTCACAATACGTAAATCATTACTAATGCCTTGGAGTGGAGGGGTAAGGTCATACTTCTGAGTGGTAGTTCCAGGGGTTTTGAATATTCACATGGAGAGCTACTCTGGTTACCTTGGTTCATGTTTCTGAGCACAGTGTTGGGCCCTTCCTCCCAGCCCTCAGAGCCACGCAGAGCAGCCCTCCCCCGCCAATTCCAAGTGCCCCCTCCCCAACTTCTGCCATTTTCAGCGCTTACCCATTCACTCAAATAAATGCACTTTAACATCCCTAATTTGGGGTGCCAGGCTTTGAAAATCTAGCCAGAACGAGACGGAGACCAAGGAGGACTAAGGGCATGGTCAGTTCAGAGTAGTGGTCACCAACCTTTTTCATCCCAAAATCACTTTTTGAATTTTCGTGCAACCCAAGATGACGCCTAAGACAATGGTGTTGAATACGGAGTCTGTGTGTAATGTGTGCTATCTACATCGAAAACCAGGTATTTAGAATTCTTCATTCTGTCCTCTTCTCCATGTCCATGAGACATCTCTGACTGCACATTATCTGCCTGTGCTCCAGCCGGAGGAGCCATGTAGCCCCGCCAGTCGGCCGTGGCGTTCTGTCTGCCATGGCTGCCCCCGCAGGGACAACCTCACTGCGCCCCCGCTCCAGCCAGAGCAAGAGGGGGCAGTCACGCAGCCCAGCCAGCCAGCCATGGTGTTCTGTCTGCCAAGGCTGCCCCTGCAGGGACATCCGCACCGTTCCCTGGCTCCAGTCGAAGCAAAGGGGGGCAGTTGCCCATCCACCATGCGACCCAGCCAGAACTCACCATGCCGCTGCCACCACCACTCACCTTCTGTTGCAGTACGACAGTGAGTGTTGGTGAGTGCTGCTGCATAGCTCTGCAAATGAAGAGGGTGGACCTAACATTTTTTGTGTGCAGCCACACAAGTGCGCAGGTCAGAGGGAACCTGGAGATTGACTGTTGGAGACACCGAGATCGACCGGTTGATCATGATTGAGGGGTTGGAGGCCATTGGGTTAGAGAGAATACTCAATGGTGGACAAAAGAGTGTGCCCATTTGTAAAATGTGTTGTAAAGAGGACAGAGACTAATTCTCCTTAGTTAATAAGGACAGAGAGGAGAGGATATTGCTCTTTGAACTGCATTAATTCTTTCTCTTACAAGGTTCCTGTGAAACACACAACACGTGAAAATTTGATCCGAAGTCAAACCCTAAATGCTCAAAGTAGTAATGGAAAGTTGTAGTGTGTTCTTGTTTGAAGGTCATGTGCTGTCCCTTTGTTTTACAGCTCTCCCTACTGGAGAGATCTCGTGCAGGGATGGGAGTTGGTGTCTCTGGTGTGCTGCATACCGATATAGAAGAGCTCGTGGGTGATGGGGTTTAAAATGCACACTGTATGGCCTGCTGCGATGGTGCGGCTTTTATGTTGCATGACCTGAACTTAATTCCTATTTGTCTGTGTTGTTGGAAGAAGAGGTTTTGCAAATAACCCAATCTGTATGCATATTGAACACACAGATATGAGCCGGTGTGCTCTATCTGAAATGGTTGAACCTACTTCGACACCTAACCAATCTGCCCACCCAGCTCTGCAAACATCGTGATGCACTGCTGCTTCCCAACATATTAACAGAGTAACTATTAAAAACGTGGTGGTCAGGGTGCAAAAGCTACACGTAACACTCAGCAAAAGCTCTGAACAGTTGGAGCGTAAACTTGCTTAAACTAGTGAGAACACCACAGAAGCACATGAACTAGTGAGCAAGCAAGCTCAGACTGCTGAGAATAGCTCTCCTCACATGACGATATTCAGGAGAGGACTCGAATGTTACCGCTCTGTGGACTTCGCTAGGCCAGCATTTCTCAGCTTCTGGTCTGTGGACCGGCTCCGTTCCCTGAGCTCTCTGATGCAGTTTAGGAAGGCAGCAGGCTGGTCCCAGGACTCAAAGGTTAAGAACCACTGCTCTAGATGGTTTCTCAAACGCTGTCGTACAGGAGCCCCCTTCTGATGACAGTTACTGCATGACCCGGGAGAGGGCTGGGACTGAGCCCTGCATCCCAGGTGGGGAGGGCGAAGGGGTCACAGCCCAAGCTCTGCGGCTCAGGGTCAGGGGAGAGAGCTCGATTTGAACCTGGGGATGGAACTTGGGCTCCAGTCCTAGGTTCCAACATGTCTTAGGCTGGCCCAGCGACCTCAGTGAAATGGGGTTGTGATTAGGGGTGTGAATGGTTAACTAAGCATCACCCTTACCAGGTGATCCCAACCGGTTAACCATAACCAGTAGGCGTTGGAGCAACCCTCCACCTGCCATGGCAGTGGTCTGCTCTAGCCCCTCGAGGCCTGTCATGGGACCCCACCTGCTCCTATTTAAGCAGTTAACTGGTTAAACATTGTTTAACTGATTAACTAATTAAATGGGATTTTTACATCCCTGGCTGGGACCCCTTTGGGATTGCAACCCACAGTTTGAGAACCACTGCTTTAGACTACCAGTCAACCCAGGGAACGTTTCACCTGTTTTGTGGTGGGTGTTACAGGTGTTGGTGGCTCTCTAATTCTCCCCCCCTTTCCCTCTCCCCGATGCTTCTGTTTAATTAGCAAACAAGTCTTGGGTTATTGGAATGATTGGGGTTCTGGAACTGGCTGTATGAGGAGGCTGCGGAATCACCAGTGCTGGCGAGACTGAGGCGTTGGACTGCTTTGTCAGGCTTGGTTTTGTTCTGTCTCTGTAGTGTGCCTGGTGCTGGGAGGAAGGGGGCAATTGGTTTATGACTGGGTCCTCCAGGCACCTTGGTACCACAATTACGGGAACAATCTTTAGTGCAGAAATGTGGGCAACACAGTATTCTCTTCCAAACTCAGTGTTTGGTGTTTGTGATTCAGATTGTACCCAACGGTAGCTCCATCCTTTAGAAGTCTCGTATTAGGTAAATAGCTATCAAAAGCATCTGCCTTCCTGTACACTGGCATTCTATTCCCCTCTCCTTGGAGAAGCACAAAATAATTATGAGACCATTTAATGTGTGTGTCCCTCTACCAAGAATGAGAACAGGGAGAGATCCTAAAAATGTATCGGAGAGATTTGATTTTTTTTCCCTACTAACCACCGTTGCATTGGACATTGTAGAGACTGATATAACCCTCCCCCTAAGATTACCCATT